CCATTATCCACTTGATTCAAGCTTTATCCAAGACAATTTTCCATTTTGGCACAAAGTTACCATTTCCACTCTTGTAAAGCATGCTTTATCACAAAGTCCACTCTCCTTGAGCCTCTAACATGTTCCCTATGCACAAACTCCATACAAAATCCAGAAGTAACATGTTTAAATCCTTTAACCACTCTATATTGCCTTGTACTTCACATTGGAACCATGTTCTTCAAGTTTGCTTCATTTACAATCCAACCAAACCATAACATGTGATCTTGCAAATCTGTTGTTCTCCTTCCCTCCAACCTTTCTCTATAAATAGAGAGGTCCATTTGCAAGCTAGGACGCGAGTTCATAAGCCCTAAAACACCCTCAATCTTTCCCAAGTCAGAATTAGCCAAACAAACTCCATTTGTTGCAATTGTTGACCTTGAACTCCAAACACCTAATCCACTCGTGCGTTTTCATTCTAAATCATTCAAAAAGCTTCTATAACTCATATAGAACTCATCACAACCCTTGTTTCATCATTGTAACATCATCTTCATCATTCTCCATTTTCAAAAACAGAGCCCTGCAACTTGACTTGTCCAGAAGATTTGAGGCACTCTCAATCCAAAGTAAGCATTACAATAGCTTCCTGGGAGTTCAATGAAGCTATCCATATCATCAAAACACCTCCGGGAGTGCTCTAACTTCAAACTCGATTCTCACTTTGTTCGGTCTGTTTATAGAGTCTAAAATCTATCTGCAAGTGCACATCCTATCAAAGTAATATAAAGGATTGTCGAACCACATAGGCCAATCGTCAATCTATGAACACTATTATTAAGTTGCTTATCTAAGGCAGATCGATTCAGTTAAGGGAGTATAATGCAAAGGAAATAAATAGATAAAGTAAATTCAGACAAAAGACAGGCTAGAATGTAAATCATATTGGCCAAATAACATTTCAATTTGTATTTAATAGAACTACTCATGGGGCAATATTTTCCACTCTTGTAAAGGAACAATTTGACGGGAACTTGTCGCTTTCGCTAACTAAGAACCGATTTTACTCTCTAATCAAACTCTTATATTGTCACTTATAAAAGGCCATTTCAAGCGTTAAAGCAACAAATCTATTTTTAAGATATTAGTTTCTTAACTTAGTAAAAAATTGGTTTCAACTCAGAATGATTGACATAAAGAGATTATTGGCTTTCGCTCGAGAATCGAATTTTAAACCTATAAACGCGTCCGAAAATAGTTTCAAAATCGTTTTCTAAAAGTGTCAAAGATACCTAATTAACCATTCAAAAAACTTTCGCGCTTTTTGAACGGTTAAAAACTAACCAATTTTAATCTTTAAAATGGACAGATTTCGATCTTATCCAAAAATATTAAGTACGAAAAACTTGTGTTAAAAGTTAAAATAGCCCCTAAAGTGTTTCTACTGATACGGTATTGAAATGCTATCATGGTAATGCTCCTTACATTCCAACCTTAAAATATTTAGTCAGACATGGAAATAAAAGCAAGCATATTAAAGTTGATCGAAATAAACATAGTAATAAAGGCAAGGCAAAGTAATAAAATAAGTAATGCAAGTGCAAGACAAAGTGGTTGAATAAAATTTAAAAAGTAACTTAAATAGAAACCTGCTCCAAATCGAGTCTTTAAATCTTGGTACAACTGGAAAGTAAATTCTTAAACTAAAATGGAGGCAAGATTGTAAATAAAAGTGATGCTCCAACCTAATCAAGACTATGGTGCAATAATCCTCCGATGTGGAGAATTATTGCTTTTACACAAGTGAGTATAGGCTTAGCGTTGCAAGACTAAGTTGGATAATATAAAATGAAATAAAAACTACTATTTATAAAAGTTCTCCAGGCTATATTGTGACAGAAATGACCCCTAACTCCTTTTGGGCGGGAAGAAACTCTTCAAAGACCACGGTCGTCGAGGCCCCTCTACGGGCGCGGAGTGTGCAGATAGAGAGATCGTGGGGGACGTGGCAGTTATCCCATGGGTGGAGTGGGACACATCACGGAGCCCCCTATAGTGGCCACTGAGCTAAACTCCATGTGAAAGATTTCACTGAAAATCTCGATTTCTTGGCCTTTTTGGTTGGTTTCTTCAAGAAGAGCTCCAAATGGGCATGTTGCCTGAAAACAAGACAAATACAAGCATAACACAAGAAAACAATACTAAAAATTATGAAAAACATGTTTTATTTGAGTCAAGTATGCAGTGCGATCAGGTGTTATCAAATTCTCCCACACTTAAACCTTTGCTTGTCCTCAAGCAAAAACTCCCAGAAGTAGATGAAAAGAAGAACAATATTTACAAGATTTTAAGCTAAAAGGGCTTCTAAGTTCAAGTAAGGGTGTGTTGATAGGTACTAATTGATCGAACCAAGGATATCTTGATAACACTTTTTGCACAAAAATATGGGCATAAACTTTATTCCTATAAAAACACATCCATGTTAGTCCACTATGCCTAAGCTTCCTCTTTTTGTAAGGTCCTTTTTCATTCCAACGCAATCACATTAAGCTTGTTATCTGTACCAACTTGTAGCAGAGTGACCGGTTAGTGACTCTGATCTCAAGCCTGGGGTTCTGGTATATGAATAGGTATAACCCCTTTATTTAGCCAACTGTGGATTTGGGGGATCGGACTGTAATCCTCCCTACCGAGTCCAGCACCAGACACCACTAAACTAACCAACAATGGGCATAAACCTTTTATTTTCTTTTTGTTTCTTTTTTTTCTTCAATATTTTACAAAAAAAATTAGTTAAGTGACTGTGTGAGAGTCACCCAACCCAGAGTTGTATTTTCAGTTTAAAGAACAGAAACAGAGATCATTCACTTATTTTCATCGGTCCCCTGCGTATAGCATGCTTAGGCTGGATCTGACTGCTAAGGTAAACTACTAAAATACCTTTATTACAATAAAATAAATCTACAGTATAGGGGTAACGAGATCAGTTCTTATATTTACAAAGTTTATGGTGCTAAAACGTTATCGATTTTTCAAAAAGAATTCCCAAGTCAAACTCATCCTACCCTGAACCTGACTTACAACTCAAAAATTTTAAAACACTATTTTCTTTGGCACAAAAAATTTATTGGGTAAGGCTAAAAGTGGGGAAATAAGGATACACAATGCAAAAACGCAAAGGACTCATCAAGCACGTGAATTTTATTAAAAATAAAATAAACAAAACAACTAAAGTACTAGAAAGCGATAAATACTGAAAATAAAGAAATGAAAAGCGATAAAAATCTCCTCCCACACTTAAACCAGACATTGTCCTCAATGTTCCGATAAAATATTAGGAAGGAGTAACCTGGATGTTTCTAATGGGGTCCGTTGGTACCCTCGTTGTCCTGTGTGGGAAGATCGGAACGGTGGCTCCTGCTATGACGTCGGCTCTCTCTGGAAATCTCAAGTCGGTAAACTCTTTAGGAAAGAGCGGTGTTTGCTTCCTGCAACTGGAGGGTTCTACCTAATAAGGTGCCTTGAGAGGCTTCCATCGAAGTAAAATGCCTCGCGAAGCTAGACTACTGACGATGCTGCTCGGTCTGGAAGGCAAGCTGGGTCTCCATAATAGTACGCAAGGAGCCAATATTTTACACTTGAGATGCTTGCATGAATGCCATGTTGTCCGCAAGATGTTGTTGAATGGAGGAAAAGAGAGCATCTCGCCTCTCCTCTCGATACATAAGCATATCCACTTTGGCCCAACCTCCTGCTGGATTTGACACCAAGCCTCCAAGTATTTTGCTTATTCATCTCCTCAGGATAACCATAAACACATGTTACAAACCAAGGCAAATCCTCTTCCTCGTCTAAATCGGAAGCACAAAATGATTTATTGAGAAAGACACCATAGTTAACTGAACACAATCCCTCCATAAGACTACAATGCCACCAGCTTTCTCTACCATGCCTCATACAATCCATCACAAAAATCTGATCCTTGCCACTCTTGAATTTAATGTTACACAACTCCTGCTCTTTCAAACGGGTTTCTTTAAGAAAAAACAAGGAGGGATTTTCATTAGGGATGAGCCTTAACAAGGCTCGAACTGCCCGAGGATTTCCCAAACCCCTACAGTTCCAGCTCATCATTTTCATTGAGTTAGGCGGTGTTGGTCGTCCAACACCACCTCTTGTTCTGGGTTACTTGCCTCTTTCATCTCCACATCTTGTTCTTATTCTTCAATATTCCTCTCAAATCCTCTGGTGATCCCTCAAACACTAACACCTCAACAAATTGTCTTTTGCCCTTCTCGGTATCAATGCCTTTGAGACATTCCTTCATAGCCTTTTTACCCACTTTCTGCCTGCTCCACTTCTTCACTTTTGGCTTGGATTTGGAATTTGCTTCAGCACTCTTAACTTGTGTGTTAGAAATGGCCACCGCCCAAAGATTCTGCCACTGATTCAATCTCCTTATATTTCCTCTTTGGATCGTCTCCACGAACATTAAGCTTTTCTCTTGAATCTTTGCTTGACTCTTTTACTTGAGCCACCTCCGTCTCACCTTTCCCTTCCCTTTCCTTTGTTTTGTATTTGCTCTGGCTAGAGGAGACATTGAAGAGACTTTTGTTTCACGTTCCTGAGCTAGACTCATTAGTTCTTTGTTATTCAAAATTTTTTGGTAAGGGATAAGTCCTTAGCCATAAGTCATACGATAGTTCTTGTTCGCCTATGTCTTCATAGCCCTCTTCCTCCAAATCCCCCAGTGTCTCGTAATCTTTTACTTGGTGTCTTAATCTTCCACATATGAAACAGAAGGTAGGCAATTTCTCATACTTGAAAAATACCCGGTAACTCTTCTCTTTAAAATGAACAATCGTACCACGTTTGAGGAGCTGCTTCAGATTCACACTTGCTTTCAATTGGAGAAATCTTCCATTACGATGAATATCTTTCGAATCCATCTTATCATATGATCCAAGAATACTTCTCAGTTTCTTGGCCATTGCTCATATCTGAGGATAAGGGGTAGATCATAGACCTTTACCCATAAGGAACCAAAATGCATGTCGAGCCCCGGGGGTTGTTCCTCTCCCGAGACCCTCTTCAGCACCAACAGATGCATGTCGAAACTCCAAACCAAATCCCTCTAGCCTCACTGAATTGGCCTAAAGATCTAGCACAAAACCAGTCCCAAGATAAATATTTTGCTACATATACAATATTCCGACTCCCTTTGATGCCGCCTTAAAACAAAATTTCGTTCCGGATTAGCCAAATGGCCCTTACAGTAGCTAACCAAATAAGGCACCGAAACCTTTTCTTGACCTTCCCCCGCATTGTCGAAATGAACAACAACAGATGCTTCGAAGAACCAACATGAGGCTTAGAATAGGAGAACCCCATCCAAGCCAAAATCAAAATCTATGCCTCCTTGGCGATGGAACAGTTAAGAAAGAGATGACGATGAGTTTCCGACAGGCCCAAACAAAATGGGAAAACGAGACGATGTGTACCTGATAAGACGTCCCTTTTTACAAGCTCGTCTTTAGTTTGAAGTCGCTCCAAAATCAATCTCCAAGCAAACAGAGACACATTATAGGGGACGCTGGATTTGCAAATATAATGCAATGTTTTCTTGTCACTAAACCCCAACATTATCTGGCGATCAACACAGGACATCAAATTGGCATAAGCTAACTTGACGGAAAAGCTCTCGGATCCCACCTCAAATAAATTGATCTCAGACAGCCGATAGTGGGGAAACATGTTGCAACACCTCCAAAAGAGAAGCAAAATCAGTCATCGCGACCGAACCTAGGAGCTCCGAAGGAAACAGGCAGAAACTCCAAACCCAACGAGATTATGCCCAATAACCATCATCCGATATACGCAACCTCGATGAAAGCAAAACTTGAAACGAAAAAGGGAATTGAACACACAGAGGGTCTGCGTCAATCCAAAAATCTCTCCAAAAATAAAGCTCATCACTGATGCCTAGTTTACAAGATAAGCTACGGCTGAACCAACAAAAGTCGGAAGTCCAATTACTCAATAAAATCCTCAAGTCCCTCCACCAAATAGAGGCTTTCGATCGACAAAACAGAAGAGAGTTATCACAGACAACCATCCTAATATTTTCGTATCTAAATGAAAGAACCTTATGTCATGAAGTCTCGCTCTCAGATAAGATTTTCCAGCCCCATTTACTCATCAAAACTGAATTAAACGCCTCACAATTTTTAACACCAAGACCGCCATCTTCTTTAAAAAGACAAATGGATGACCAAACAACCCAATTAATCCTTTTGCGAGACTCCTAACCATTCCACAAGAACGCCCTTTAAATAAAAATAATTTCTTAAATAAAAATTTGTGATATTATAAGAGTTCGTTAGATGTTAAGATAAGTGACTGGATATGATAATTACACGTCTCATTTTAGTCTTTGATTAATTTTTATACTTTTCATAACATGTTTCTCTAATATAAATTGTCATGAGTTGTGTTTAAAAGTCAATAAAATAGGATAAGAAGATATATTGCTTATTTATTTCAATGAGAATATAATTTAAAATATATAAATAATGATTTTAAACATTAAATAAAATAATAATAATTTAATTAGAAATTTATTAAAATTAAAATATTTAAAATAAATTATAAATAAAAATGTCAAAAGAAACTAATATTAAATTTAATTTTTTCAAGGTATTTTTGCATTTATATATGATATACATATACAATTTTATATAACATATTTAACATATATAATTGAATTACCTATTTATTCATGATTTGAAAAAAGTGAAATTGATTATCTAGTAGTGTTAATGAGTTTTATAAAAAAAACTAAATTTATTTATTATTTTAAAATTTTTATCTAGTAGTGTTAATGAGTTTTGTTCGTGATAAAGTGAGAGATGAATTGATTGCTACTTGTTATATGAAGTGCGAAGATCAATTGGATGATCTACTCACATACTATCCTCGTAGTCCAACCAGAAGATAAGCTCCGAGCATTTTGGACTTGTTGTAGAGAATTTTTATATGACATATGCAGTCACCAGAGCATCAAAGATCACGGCACAGTGTAGTGCTTTGCTGAAGATACGAGTGACGGTTCTTAAGACTTGCAATAAGGGTGTGACTACCCGTGTTCCGGCTGATATATTATTCAGTTAGGTACAAATCATTCAGAGTGAAAACATTAACATAAGTTGTGTTCACAAGGTGACTAAATATAAATGTAGCAAACTTATTGATGTTTAATCACAAAGATTCCACAAACTTCATGTATAGCAAGCTTTTCCTATATTTTAACTATCAATGAATCCTGGAAAATTTTCTTTCAACGCAAGTGAAACTGTCTTAAACTATTGATCAAGCAGTTGGAAATTGCCTTGTAATCAATCTTATCAAATTGGATATCATAGTAATGTATATATTATATGTGATAGCATCAATCTTACCAATATTATATCAGTAACAGAATATGTTCATCATCATAACAAAGCCACATGACAAAGCTAACAAAACTCAATATTTTGCTCATACTCAAAATGAGCGATTGTCTAGGAATGAAAAAATTATTAGTGTGAGGTCCAAACCAGGCCTCCATCAGTAAGTTGATAAAACCATGGAAACAACCATAATCTTTGTAAGCTTCAAAACTTACTCACAAAAGCAACACTTTCTCACATAACACGGTAGACACAGTAGTAGCGGTCACCATCACGGTCATCTGGATAGAATTGGACATTGACAAACTCAGTGTAATCACCATTCGCTAGTGTAATCACGGTCATCTGGGTAGTTTTGTGTTGCTTTGAGAACAGACTCTACCCGAACACACTTGACAATGCTCCAGAAACTGCCTTTGTAGTAAAGAGCAGTGTCTGCAAAGTGATACCACCCAATTTTCCCAATGAACAAGTCCGGCTTTGGACTTTCAATGGGATCCGTCTGGAATTCCTTAAAGACATCATAAATGGGAACTAACCCTCCAAAAGAAATCTTCTTCCCATACTCCTCGAATTGGGAGTCCGCCTCAGCTTTGGATAAGGCACTAACTGGACATGAAGGGCGCTGCCAATTTCAAATAAGACATTAATTAGAAACCATTAATTTTTTTCACAAAATGCATTATAGATGAAACTGTTTGTTGCAATTGCAAGGCTTGCTACAAATTAGCTTCTTTTGAGTAATTTACACAATTAACAACAAATGAACCTATAAATCAACTACCAAAGAACCAAACACAAAATTTCTATCAAATGAGCAAACTTCATGGCAGACTGCAAATCACATTGTGTCAGTACCTAATACCCTAAACAAAAAGTACTACCAACTCCATCCCAAAACGACAGTCAAATAAACAAACATTGGGACCTAAACCAACACATATGACAAATTTCAATCAAAATAAGAAGGTTAATAGTAAAGTAGATAAAAAATATCATTTTTAGAATCAAATCAATCAAGTTACCAGTAAAGTGTACACCAAAAATACAAATTTTCAAAAAATAGCAGCAAATGTTCATTAAATTGAGCATGTTAATAATAAAGTCGGTTAAAAATACTCTTTTAAATCAAGATGATCATGTTATTAGTAAATTGTACCAATAAAAAAAATAGGATCTTTTCATACATCATGTGATGTAAAGAAAGATTTTACTATTTATACTGCCCAAAAATAAATCTCACAGCAAAGGGAATCTTTCAATGTACAAATAAATTTATCAATACACGAAAGAGGTTCGACTATCAATCTAGCACTCTACAGACATTTGTTGGAATGCCTGGCGAGTGAAATTTACGCCGTTTCGAAGACAACGAATAGACGAACGCAACTATATAAGGTCCTCTTCCTAGTTTGCATCAAGCAAGGAGAACCGACCTTTGAAAGTCAACTAGTTATCCCTACTGAACTTCAATCATTTATCTCCCTTAACACCAACCCCATACTTCATTCACCAAATACTATACATACACACAAATATCGAACTCCAAACTTCTAAAACTAACCATCAAACTAGTGAAATTTACGCAGACGAAGGCAACTATATAAGGTCCTCTTTCTAGTTTGCATCAAGTCAGGAGAACCGGCCTTTGAAAGTCAACTACAGAACTCCAATCATTTATCTCCCTAACACCCAATACTTCATTCACCAGATATTATTCATACACAAAAATATCAGAACTCCAAATTTCTAAAAATCCAACCATCAAACTAGGGAAAAAAATTTATGTTTCACCTAACATTATATACACAACCATTTTCAATCCAAATTTCAACAAATATAACTTCAAAAGTAGATATTCTTTAGCAGAAGGTAACCTTAGTAAAAAGCAGATTTCCCAAGCTTAGATTAAAGCAGACACCTAAGTTTGAAACCTGAAAATTCTTAAATTAAAGACAAGAAATAAATATCATAAATAAATAAAGATTATGTGTAAATTTTTAATAACATAGCATTAGAAAATTACCTTTGGAAAAAGCAGATTTTCCTTTGACACTCTCACATTTAAACCGAAAACATATTTTCAGTATTTCCTGAATTATCAGATATTAAACTAATAAAAACAGACCAAAAGTCCAAGAAAATTTAATTTTCAAAACATACCTAAATATCAATTTATAAATGTTTAGGAAATTGTAACAGAAACCATAAAATATTAAACTAAATTTTCTAAACACACCAGTCCAAAACCTGATAACAACCCAGCATTCATTTAGTTTTACCGTTGCAATATTCAAGCTTAGAGTTACATTAGTGAATTGACGATCTAATAAAAACTACAATATCAATGACAAAAACAATAAAGATAACATTTTGAGCAATACCCATAATTTAAAAACCAAAACAAATCATATCATTTTTTGTGCTACAATCTGTTGACATATTAATTCAAAAATAAAACATATAAGAATTGGCATGATCTTAACTAAACGTATCATCATTGTCGATTCTTGATCTTCTGTACTCGCTTATTCAACTGCTCGATCGTGACAAGAAGACATGTAACAGAATACAAGAACCTATAAAAAATGAGAGCAACCCCAATAAAAAGCGCATTGCTCGGGAGCAAAAGCAAAAGCATCTATAGAACCTAACCAACAGATCCTTTTAGTTTCAAGCTCAACAACTGTTTTGTTTCAGAAGCAAATTCATATGGAAGATCATCGATTACATCTCTACAGAATCCAACTATCATAGTTGACATGGCAGTCTCATAGTCGATTCCTCTCTGTTGAAAGTAAAACAATTGATCTTCACCAATTTTCGATGTTGTAGCTTCATGTTCAATCCGAGCAGAAGGATTCTTAGACTGTGAAGAATAAACACAAGCAAGGCATTAAATTTCAAGCATTATTCAATAATGCAATTGTACGTCCACCACATTTCACCGTCGACACAAACAAAATATATATATATGGCCAATGTTCAATTTGCAAAGCCAAGTAAAAAATCAACTTGACAACGCCTCATTAAATGTAATATATAAAACAAGAATAACCTAGCATGAACCGAGGCATAGACATTAACATCAGGAGGATGGAAATAAAATTACAAAAAATGAATACAACATTTTCAAAAAGTAACTACCTGAATGTATACAACATTTTCAAAAAGTAACTACCTGAATGTATGGGTAGGTATTTGCAGATGCAGTATCTCCTATGAGCATAGAATCGCACTGTGAGGAGCTTTTAGCTCCGTCTGCAACTGACATTACCTGCACAAGTCCTCTATAACAATTTCTGGAATGTGCAGCAGAAATACCTTTAGATATGATTCTACTCCTAGTATTCTTTCCCTTATGTAACATCTTTGTCCCTGTATCTGCCTGCTGATAGTTATTAGTCAGTGCTACCGAATAAAACTCCCCTACTGATTCATCACCCTCTAGAACAACACTTGGATACTTCCATGTAATTGCTGATCCTATTTCCACTTGTGTCCAAGATATCTTTGATCTAGCCCCAGCACAGAGTCCCCTCTTGGTGACAAAGTTATATATCCCACCTCTCCCATGCTCGTCACCCGCATACCAATCCTGCGTTGTCAGATATTTAATCTCTGCTCCTTCATGACAATATAATTCAACTACTGCTGCGTGTAACTGATTAGTATCGTAAGCGGGTGCAGTGCACCCTTCCAAGTACTCCACAAAACTACCCTCTTCTGCGACAATCAATGTCCTCTCAAATTGACCAATCTCTTTTGCATTAATCCTAAAATATGTTGATATTTGCATTGGACACTTGACATTTTTGGGAATATACACAAACGTCCCATCCCCATGCACAGCAGAATTCAAGGCTGCATAAAAGTTATCATCAGAAGGAACAATCTTTCCTAAATACTTCTTAACCAAATCTGGATACTCCCTTACAGCTTCAGATATAGCACAGAATATCACGCCAGAATTTTCCTCCAAACTCTTCTTATGAGTCGTTGCAATCGAAACACTATCACAAACAACATCTATTGCTACATTATCCCTTTTGCTTTCTAAGAGAGGAATACCAAGTCTATCAAAGTAGGCGAGTAACTCAGGTGCAGGCTGATCAAGACTATCCAAAGTTGGTTTCTTGTTAGGCTCGGAGTAATAACAGAGATCCTGAAAATTGATTTCCGGATATCTATTGTCAGACCAGTTAGGGTGTTTCATTTTCAAAAGCTTGTGATATGCTTTAAGTCTAAAGTCAAGCATCCAATGAGGCTCATTTTTTCTTGCAGATATTAACCTAACAGTTTCCTCGGATAAGCCTTTGGGTAACGAAAATGAGTCAATTTCTTGATTAAATCCCCACTTATAATCCCTTCTCAAGAAGTTGTCAACTTGGTGATCATCATCATAACTGTTTGCCCTAACCTTGAAAGCTGAAGGTCTTGATTTGGTAGAATTGGGGTTAAGTTTTACATGAACAGGAGACCCTTTGACAACTTGTGATATGGGTTGTGGAAGAAATTGGGAAATTCCATTGGCAAGAAGAGATGACATTTGGTACCATTGATGTACCATTGGTGTAACTTTGGTGAACAATATCTAATTAGTAGATAACAAGTTGGATCCTGAACAACAATATATCAATATACAAACCCTAATAAAAAAACATATAACATAAAACATATACAAATTATTGTCAAGTGTCAAGACCGTATTCAAGGTGTCAATGTTTCATTGATGATAATTGTTGTTAATTAATAATTGATCTTAAAAATTGATATATAACTAAATTCAACTTTGCATTGTCGACGTTTGATAGGGTCAAAACAAAACTGAAATATATATTGAACAATCAAGAATGGATAAAAGTTAATGAAGAATACCTTATGGAAATTCGTAGGAGATTGAGAGATGAACGCATCAATTTGGGTTAACCCTTTAAGATCTTCGGAGAGTGAGACATGAACGCATCGCATCAACCCTTTAAGATCGATAAAGGGATCTAAAACAAAATTCCCTTAAGATTTATTATTGCTATTGTTCAATTCCAATTCATGTAAACCAATACAAGTTTGGGAGATGAACAGAATGAATTTGATACTCTCTTTTTGTTCAGCGGAATAAGAGAGAAGGCAGAGATTTGGAGAGAGAGAGAGAGAGAGGCGCATGAAGAAGGGTTAAATAGTAGGGTCACTTTTCAATTTTTACTGACAGGTACAGCTGGAAACATAAAGTACATGCCTACATGGAGGCTTGAATTCAATACCCGTCATCAACGCCTCCCTTTTACCATCTCTCTCTTCGTTTATTTTCTTTAATTTTGGCTATATAAGACCATTAATAATTAAGCTAATTAATTCATTAATTAATATTTACTTTCACGTTACAAAATGTAGAAATTTAATTTAAAAAACGTAGGTTAAAGGAAACAAAAAAAGTTTTCTTTTTTTTGTTAAAAATAAGCAATGGTAAAAAAAATATTTATTTTAATATATATATATATATATATATATATATATATATATATATATATATATATATATATATATATATATATATATATATATATATATATATATATATATATATGACTAGTTAGTGAGATAGTTATCAAATAAATAAGATTTTTCTATAAAAAAATTATTCTTATCTATAAACCACTAATATGTATCTTTGCACTCTTACTGACTTGAGCATTAGAGTGTCTTGCAGGTACACCCCCTCCTCCTTGATTCCAACATTGTAGACAAAGTCTCTGCCCCCACTTCAAGTTCTCATCACTAGTAAGATCAGTGGCGCCGTCTGTGAGAAACATTGTTTTCCCATCTTTCTTTCTCCGAAAACTAAAGATCAAAGCAAATATTCAAGATTCAAATCATGGTCAGTCATGATGACGACAACAATGTTCACCGAACCATCATCTCTCAGGTCCACAAGACGGACAACGACAATGAGAATCCCTTTCTAGAGGACGTTGTTCCCCCGAAAAGGGACGGGGCCACTACATCTCCTTCCCCAGGCAATTCAAACGACGTTGACGTCCAGTATGTGGATACTCACATAGTCAACAAGATTCTTGAAAAAGCGCCATAAATCTCTTAATTAATTCCAGTACCGCCCAACACTGACCCCACGATGGCAGCCTTGGTCGCAACGCTCAACCAAACGAACACCCTTATCCTCCCGCAAAATGAAAGGATTGGGGCGTTAGAAAAATATCTTCGTTCAAGATCTCCCTTGCAAAAATACGAACGGTTAGAGTCTCGAAGTCTGTCTCCTCGACAACGAAGACGCCACCCAGCACCGAGGAACACAATGTTAATCAAGAAATGTGATTGCACTCCTCCTAGAAGGAACCAATCCTCCCTGGTTACCAAGAAATCCAAGGGTAACCTACAATCAGAAATCCGACACTCACCTCTGCTCAAGCCAAAGGGCCGCTCAAGAAGTCCCTCTCCTCGACGGGATCGTAGTCCTCGACACAGCAAGTACGACCATTCTCCCCCTAATCACCTAGAAGCAACGACGACGATAAACCTCGTGGCTCATTATCTCGAGAGATCATGGCCTCTCGGCTTCCTGTCGGGCTAGAAAAGCTTCCACAATTAGGAACATACGATGGAATGGATGATGCTAACGATAACTTCGAGAACATCGATGCTCTTCTCGACTACCGTGACGTCAGGGGAGCCATTAAATACAAATCATTTCCCACGACTATGAGGAATTACTGATGGGAAAAATAGCAAGTGTACTATTTTGCCTCTTCAGTAATAATGAGCAAAGTTCCCAGAATGTCGATCTCAAGGACTGCGTATAAATATGGAGTTCGAACTGTTGTTCAACTAAACAAAAACTAGAGTTTGGTTTGATTTTCTAAAATAAAATAATTGCGAATAAAATAAATAGATGGGAAGGATTGTTTTGACAGATATGAGTAACATGCTGGGGAAGATGTATGATTTTCCCTGTAACTACCTTGAATCTTGATCTCTTCAACAAGTTCATAACATACAATTACCAACCCTTTAGGTTATCTTTCCCTAAGTCCTTAGTGGGAAAACCTTTGAACCTTCATCCTAAATCCTAAGTCCTTAGAGATTTCTGATGGAGACAAGCCTTTATTTTATCAAGAGTTATCTGGTAACTATAGGGTATCCCTAGTCCTAGGTGATATCTATTATAGCCTAATGGTATAAAAACCTTAACACCTGTTGTAACACGGTGGTAGAACCGACTAGGGTGTTTTGCGTTTGATCGCAATTATTGCAGATAACAAGAGTCGCTACTGACTTTTATTTTATCCAAAAGGAAAGGTTGAAAAGAATAGGAAAGACCTTTCGAGATTATTTCTTGAGTTCGGGGGGTAGGTTATGAAAACGAAAGATGTTAGCACCCTTTTCATCCGTGGTTATCTACAGGCTCTTAGTTGTTTGCTAGATCACTTGCTTTTGTTTGAAAATGTGCTTGTGGTGTGGTTTTTGAAAGTATTTTGAAAACGTCTTTGTAATGGTTCTCGTTTCTATAAGAACGCGTACAAAGTGTTATTTTGAAAATGGTTCAAAGAGGTGTTTGTGGAATATGTTTTTGAAAGTGATTTTGAAAAGGTGTCTTTGTAATGGTTCTCGTTTCTATAAGAACGCGTACAAAGTGTTTGTCTTTTGAAAATGTTTCAAAATGAAAGTGTTGGTGTATAAAATGTTTTTGTTGTGAGCAAGCGAGTAACTAGGAGCAACCTACCTACTCAAAAGGTCTTAAATGTTCTTTTCCTCCTCCTTTAGATGTTTCTATCATACCATTGATTTAGTAAGAAGCCTCATCGTTGGATATGAAGGGACGGGCGTGGGACCTTTGTATAGTCATAGAAGGAAACCTATGGGACGTTTTAGTAATATCGTTTAGGGACTAGATCATTTATCGAATGCAACATTGAGGGTCATCGAGGGACTACGATCTTTTATCGAGGGTCTTTGCTAAAACACCCATGTTCGAGGGACATGACTATTTTTCCGAGGCAACAAGTGATATTACCCTAAGGGTGCATATGTGAATGGTGTGTTTGATTTGCATGTATTTAGTCTTTTATTAGGGGTTGTCTACTTGTTGTTTTATCTTGTCATACATACCCTATTTTACTAGCAAGCATACAAAAGTAATAAAATGCAGAAAGATAAAATCCTACACTATACAACCATATTGAAGTGCATGAAAATATAAAGGCAAAAATAAAATAAAGCAAGAAAAAATGGGTATTTCGATTCAGGCAAAAAACCCTTCGATTCTGCACTCTTTGACCTCCTTCGATTTTGGGTCTAGAGTCAGTGGAGTCATGCCCTTCGATTGGGGCCTGGAGGCCATCATGTTGTGCCTTTCTGCCTCCTTCGACTGAGGGTTGAAAGCAGTGAGGGAGTGCCTTTCGTCTGGGCCTGGAAGTCAACATGTTGTGCCTTTCTGCCTCCTTCGACTGGGGGTTCAAAGCAATGAGGGAGTGCCTTTCGTCTGGGCCTGGAAGTCAGTATGATGTGCCTTCTGGCTGCCTCTTTCATTTTGGCCTGGAGGTCAGTGTGGAAGCCAAAGGCTTCGTTTCCTACTTCTTGTTTCTTGTTTCTTTCGTTTGAAATATTAAATAGCAACATGGCCTAAGGCCATGCCAGCATTACCTTAGGGCCAGGTTAGTTCATAAAACATTTGTAAGAAACCAAAGAACAAAACCAAAAGGAAAAGAAATAAAAATAAACTAAAAGGGTGTAAACGAAAGGGGAACAAATGCTATGTATATGTTTGAAAAGAAAAGAAAGTTTATTTACATGTTATGCAAGAAACAAAAAGTTCAAGGTTTAGAACAACTTACCTTGCTGGAGGCTGGAGCGTGTGCTGGACCTTGAAGTGGTTACCTTGAATGCTTCTGGATTCGAAGGGAGGGACCAGAGGTTAGGCCTTTGATACTGGATTCAAAAGAGGAGAACAAGCATGAGGGTCTTCCTGTTGGATTCGAAGGAAGGGACCAGAGGTTAGGCCTTTGATACTGGATTCGAAAGAGGAGGACAAGCATGAGGTTCTTCCTGTTGGATTCAAAGGGTAACAAGGTACAGGGATCTTTCAGATTCAAAGAGGGCAAGTGTTTGGATTCTGGGTTTGTGTTTTCACAAGTGTTTAAGTATTTGAGATCTTTTTGGTGTTTGGAGAAATTTTATGATTCGTTCCTCTGGCCTAAAAAGTCCTTCTCAAACATGTGTTGGAGCCTCTTATTTATAGGCAAGGCTGCCTGAAGCTTTTGGAGGGAAAACAAAAGGTTTGAACAAATTGAGTAACTTGCTCCTTGTAGCTTTTGAGAGACAGTGCCTTGTATGTTATTTTGGTGCAAGAATGGGGCAGTGTTTCAGGACTGATGTGCAACGGTTTTGGCCAGTGTACCAGGCCTGAACTTGGCAGCAAGCATCTTTGAATATTTCACTCTTTCGTTTTGACCCTTCTTCGACCAAACTTTTCTCCTAACAATATTATTTTATTTTTCTCTAACAAGTGCCTTTCGAATGAGTCACTTTTATGCATCCTTCGAAGGAGCCAAAAGTGCG